CTCACTTTGCAATTATGATGTACTCCATTTATTTGCTAAAGTTTGTGCATCTCTCTAGCAACAGGTTTCCTGGTGTAGTCCCCCATTGAAGTGTCTTTATGCTTGTAAATTACTTTGCTGACAGCTTTCAGAGAAAGTTCATAATGTAACTTTTTTTCAGTTAATGTTGTGGGTTTTTTAGCATGTATATAAAATTTAGAAATAGTTTTTCCTCAGAAATTTATTGCAGGTAAGTTAATTAGAAATCATCAGAAATTAAGAAGATACATTTCAAATAAAAGTCATTCATCATCTACCACCATCAGGAATGAATGGACATACTTTTAGGTTAGTAAAAGGTATAGCTTTGTCTATGCCTGTAATGGATTATGATAGAAACTTTGATTAGTGACTTTGATTAGTGAAAATAACTCGTTATTAGGCAGTAGTTCAAGATCTGTCTTCTTGTACAAAAGTCTGAGAGGCTTATGCGAAATTACAATTAACAAGGAAGGCAGATTATATATTTATGCGTGTGCACATGCACACATGTATATAGACATATATTTTATAGAAATATTTTAAATTGAAGCACATTTTAATATGAAAGGTATCAAACCACAAAAAATGAGAATCCGCAGGTTGGTTAGAATCCAAAGTTACTCTTAGCATTGTTTAAAGATGAGACATTGATTGATCTTCCCCTGAGATTTTTGGGTTTTCTGCTTGGTGACAGAGGTCACAGTATTTAAAGGATATTTGTAGGTGAAGTTCATGGAATGCTTTCTTTGACCTCACTGAAGTTAGGATTTCTTCCTGTGTGGTCCAAAAGATCTCAGAAATGCCCTGTCATGTTGGTGACAAGGTGTTTGCTTTCGTGTGAGTGGTCTAATGATGTCACTAAAACTAATGCATGTAGACTTGTGTGGGTTTAAACTCTACTAAACTCAGGACAAAATAAATGAAAACATGATTTTAAAAGTAGCATTTTCATATGTTAAGCCAAATAATAATTATTTTGAAACCTCTATTGATGCACTTGCTGACTTTGTGTTATACACAAAGAAAATTGTACTATAATATTTTATATTAGTACTGGTGGTGATGAGAGAGAGAAAAATACCTTAAAATTGGAATTTAATGTTTTGATTTTAGGGTACAGTACAATTCTTGAGAGATTGTAAGAAAAAATTTAATTCCCCTGCTACTGAAAAGCCAGGACACACCATACCAAATACTCTTTACAAGATTTGTATTTTAATTTACAGATAATATTTATTTGACCTTTTAATGTGTTTTTTGTTTCAATTTTCTGACTGTAAAAGGGGGAAAAAAAGTAATTTGAAAGTCCTATAACTGGTGTACATAGGGAAAAAGAATTAAGATTTGCATTACATGTCTCAGGGATTTTGTATGTGTGGAGATGTGACATTGTTTTTATGCCCTGAAACTTAGTCCTTTAATGAAAGCAAGGCTACAGAATGAGCTTTTATTGAGCTAATGAGTGAAACCAGACAACTTTGTATTTTAAAACCAGAACTATTTTCTTCTTATAAAGTTAAACAGAAGTGGTATGAGTTTATCGGGTTAAGCACTTTAAGTATAAAACGTAACCCTTTTTTCAAGGTATTTTCACAATATTGGAAATCCTCTGGTTCCTGTTTCTTAAGATGTTTCGATGCAAGAGTACAGATAGTTAAGTATTCAAGATCTACTCTGGAGTTTTTCAACCATTTCAACTTGCAAAAAACCCCTTAGAATTTATTTAATTGAGAATTTTGAACTTTTAAGAGCTAGGAAAAAAAGAGGTACTTCTTTGATGGCGTTTTAGAAAAAAAAAAAGAATAAAGTAGAGTGTAGGTCTTCACAGCACTGGGGAGATTAAAACAAATTTTATCATTTTGTATTTCTGATTCCTGTTTATAGAGACTTGATGAGAGTAGCTGGCTGCATTTCTGACAGCACAGAAGAGTCAGATTAAATTAATGATGTGTAGCTAGACAGTCAAATAATTTAGTCTTTCTTAGTCTTGATAAAATGTTCCTTGGCTATTGAAGAAAAGAGATGTTCCAATCCATTTCTTCTGCCCCAGTTTTCTAGGATGGGTAGGGTTGGTGCTGTTTCCACTGATTTTAGTTTGTGAGATTGCTGAGAGATGTGTACTTGGAGATGCCTTTGAAATATAAGCTGTATACAACTTGCAGCCAAAGTCCTCAGACCCAAGCTCCAGTCCAGCTAATCTTGGTACTACAAAGGTGAGGACTGGTTTTCCAGCTGTCGCCATGGCAGAAGGTCCCTGTCTGCTCTCCAGGGCCAGATGTTTTTTTTGTTGGGCAAATGAGTCTCTGTGGCCCACAGACCACTTGAATAAGTGTTGGAGCATGCAAAAAGGAGGAAATGGCACCAAATGGCCCAAACCAGGGCTGCAGGAAGAGGAGAGGAATCCACCTCTGGAAGCTGCTAGGCTTTAGCTTCATCTTTGAGCCAGCACAGACTGGTTTTGCTGGGAAAGTAGTACAAAGCAGATATGTGGAGATTGGGGATAGCATCCATTGTTCGTTCAGTTCAGATTTTAGCTATTTTATTTCAGAAGATGAATGTAAATAATTGACAAACTTGAGAGTTTAGGTTGGGTGGCTTTCTAGCATGGGCCTGGAAAAATGCCTATGCTTTATATGATAAAGAAGTATGTGTTGTATATAAGGTCTTTTAATTAAAAAGATAATTTTCCAGTGTAAAAACACGTCTTTAGATTTTGACTAGTCAAACAATGACTGTGTTTTCTGTAACTTCATGCTGTTACTACAGATGCTAAAAGTCAGCAGCTGTAAACACAACCAAGAGGTTTATCCTGTCTTTAATTAGAGCTTCGAACAAAAGGACTGCTGCCTCAGTGACACACGCTTCTGAGAGCTAAAGGGAACATACATACAACTTTCCAAGATCTTGGTGGTACTGTTTCTCTAAGTGTTCAAATAGAGTAACTTGAGCAAAATCTCCTTTAGTACCTAATCATGGGAAAACCTGAGGTCTGCCATAAACCTCAAACATGGGCACTCCAGGACACCTGTGCTCTGTCCCATTACAGCTTTTCCCAGTGGAACTGGTGAGAATAAAATTGTTCACAAAGGTCCTTGTTTGCATTTTGAAGTTGGCAATCTTCAGTATGTATGTTCCTTTGGGCTAATGAAAAAACACATGTAACTGATCTGCATGACTGGAAGTGCCTGTATTATTTTTTTTCAGAGATGGAATTGTAAATCTGAGCTTAAACAGTAACATAATCAATGTATCGATAATATGCATCATATAATCAAATGTGAGAATATGCAGTGTTTATCACAGTGCAATCATACCAAGGTATTACTACACCAAAACCTTTGTGAATCATTGGGTGAGGGATTGTCACGTTTTGGTCATGCCATAAACAAGACACAGATTGAATTTTGAAAGCATTTATTACCTTTGTTGGAACTTATTGGAAATGTTTGCTGTTCTTTCCATAAAAACTTTCTTCTTCATTACTTTTGTGACCACCACCTCTCCCAAATACTCTGTGTATGAATATGGAGGGTATTTTGTTCTTTTTGGTCAGGTTTACTGTAGTTGTTTTCCCATTTAGTGGAATTTCACAGAGAAGTGAACTTAGATAGTGTTCGAAGTAGCTGACATGAGTCCTAGAAAGCAGGCAGTGTCTTCAGGCTTTAAGGATGATTGGTGAAGGTGTATTATATTGAAATGAATACACATTACAACATATACTAAGAAAAATATAGCTGAGAGTGGAAAGGGAAAATAGAAAAAAGAGTTTTATTCTCTTTTTATAAAGCAAATATATTTAACAAATATGTGGATATGCTTACATAAATATACAAGTAAATATATATAGGAATTGGTGAAGAAAAAGCAAATTCTATTTGGAGAAGTGTAATATGTTGTTACTAGGAGGAATAAAAAATTCAAAGAACTGGGAGAAAGCAAGTATAAGAATGATAGCCATAGAAACTTCAAAAGATACAATGTTTTAAAACCTTGATTAATGGCTGTTAGACTAACAGAGAAGCAGAATTTAGTCAGGGTCAGAAAGAATGATATTTGGGCAGAGTATCACTAAACAGGCTTTAAAAGAAGAGCACATGCTGATCAGTTTTGCTATTTTCACAGTTAAATCAGATAAAAAGCTACTACAGCATGCTAACATATCCAGTCAGGAAGCAAAACATTATCATATAGCTCCTTAAACCACTTGGATCTATGCTTCATGGTTAATTTAATTAACATCGAGGATTCTTTTAGATCAATCTGCAATGCTTTGTTGTTACTGTGTTTGGTTGGTTTTGTGGTGGGTTTTTTTAATCATGACATTCTTTGCACAAAATCAATAAATCTCAGTCTGCGGATGAATGTTTCATGAGTAGAATGGGACTAAATATACTGGATCAACTGGAATAGTTTACTCAGTTCTGCCATTGATATGGACTGTACAGTCTGACTGGTGGAAAACCAGCCCCCCTAACTGTATTTGAGGTATATTGCCTTTGTTTCTGTGAATCAGGCAGTAGGGGGGCTGCATTCCTAAGAAGCTGACATCTGATATATGTACCTCTGCAGTGGCAGAGCAATCTCAGTCTTAAGGCATACCATTTGGGTTTATTGAGTTATTTTTTAGAATCCTTATGTCTAGGTTAATGTGTGCCAGCAATCAAACAATGTTTCCCTCCGGAAAGTTTACTTTCTGTTTCTCTGTTTGATAATGAATGTTTCTTTTGTTTACTCTGAATTGGATTGGGCTCTTGTCTGAAGTTCTTGATGGAAAAGCTCTTGTGGTATCAACAGTGAGATACTCGAGTGCTTGTAGCAATCTTGGGAATGGTCAAAGCTGGAAGAAATGAAGAAATTCTTTCTCCATATCAGTGCTGCAGATTCAGATTCCAGGGTCAGAGTGTGGAGTGGGAATGATAAATGTACTTTACAGCATCACTTTTGGAGTAAAACACATTCTGGTCTTCTCTCCATTCTCACAGGCACATGATACTGCAGAGCTTCAAAAAATCAGAAGTAAAATCAGCTGGACGGTTGCCTCCTGCCCTCCTAAATAGGTAAACATATTACAAACACAACCAGGGTCCTTACCTACCTTATTTCTGTAAGTAGCTATAAACGTCCCCTCCACCCCCCAAATCAGCATCTGTCACTTTGTTTTGGAATGCTGAGCATAAGGGTCCTAAAAAGAAAACAAGAATTTAATTTGTTTTCTGGTTGTCAACAATTAAGTGTAGCCAACCAAAGAAACCAACTAAAATTATTAACAAGCTAACAGCATGCCTATTGCCTGTGGCAACACAAAGCTGATGGATGATGCAGTGTTACTCATTAAATGAATCTTTATCTGTGTTTCCTAAAGCTTGGATGCTAAATAAGTTCCTAAAACCATCCATATCATTGCCATGTTAAACTGCTGCAGCAGCTGATCTGTCACTGCAGAAGCTTTGTTTTGGGCTTATATTTATTAACAGTTCATTCTGTAATAACATGGTGCAACCCATTGTGAGACTTAAATAAATGGAAGATCCTTCTAGTAATAACCTTGGTAAGGCCAGTGAACTGAACAATACATTTGCTAAATAAGTAGTGTTCAGCTGATTATCAGCTCCTGGAAATTGTCATTTACTTGCTGTTTTCTTTGTCCTTTGTCTAGGGAGAAAGCGGGTTTACTGATGTGGATGCCTGCCTCATTTGCTTCACCAAAATGAGATAGGGCATGCAGGAGAGAAGGGAGATTTTTGCAAGTAGAACCTACCATGGTGAGTTGGATTTTTTCCCTGCTTCTGCTACAGAATTTCTCAGTGATGTTAAATGCATTGCTTAAACCAAACTTTTCACGCAAGTGTTGCTCCTTCCCTGGAAGTATGTTACACGTAACACTTGGTTGGCAGCAGTGCGGGATTGAGTTCTTCCCTACTGCTTTTTCCTCCCCTGCCACATGGGTCCACAGATCTGCTTGAGGGGACCTTCAATAAATTAAAGCAGCAAACTAAATGGAGCTGAAAATAATTACTTTCCACCACGTACACGAGAAAAGTATGAGAAACTGTGGCTTGTATTCTTGATTTGACACCACAGGGTCTGTCTTGAACATTATGCTGGAAAATAAGTACATGGGAAATAGATTTCTAATTTTGAATTGCTAAATACCCTCTAAATTTGTAATAAAGTGCAAGGACTCAAAATTAATAATGCTTTTTAAACTAATCTGTCTTCCTTGGCTCCATTTTTAAAATAGTAATTGCACACCTTACAGGCATATTCTTAACTAAACTCATTAATGTTTTGTGAGACACATATGTACTGAACAGATGAGCATGGAAGGAGAGAAAAAAATCCTGAACTTCCCTTCAAGAGGGTACAGTAGGGAAACAAACTGTAACAAAAGGTTACAGTAAGGGAAATTCCTGGGGCCACGCTTGTGTGGCCATGTGCAGCTGAACATTAGAAAAACCTGCTTATTAAGTAAGCCCTGTTGATTCTGCAAAATGTTGAAAAGCAGGGATCTTTAATGAAAATACCTGATTGAGGATATAATTAAAGACTGTATTATAATGCTTACGCACAAGAGAACGGAATAGAAGTTTTGCGTTTTTGCATTCACTGAATTTGACCTACAGGGAGCTATGGCCAGGATATTATTCTAGCACCTTGGCTGTGCATGCCATTGGGGAACTATGGCCTCGAGGCCATGCAGTGATCAAATTTTAAATGTCTACTACTTTTGCTAGAATGAACAATGTGTTATTCTATCCTCATACAGAGATAGAAGACTTCTGTGCATATTTGTGACTTTGGAAGCACTGACTTTTTTTAATGATCTGTTGTTATTATACTTGACATGCATTGTCAATTGTGAGATTCCCCCTCGCATCCATGTTGGAGGCTGGGTCTTGTTTTTTTCTCTTCTATGAATCCTAATAGTTTTTTGATCATAAATTGAAAGTTCAATGCTTAAGGTTGTCAGGATAACAAAATACCTGATAGACATCAATTTTCCATTACTGCAAACATGTTTTCTGTCATAGTTCCCTGTGGTGGTGAAGGAGTCTTAACAGAACTTGTGAAAGTCCATAGCACTGCAGCATGGAAAATGTATCTGCCTTGGTGTCTTCATTTAATGGGTTCCATTTGTTTCTAATTTTGAAGCTTAACCTTGGGTTTGAAATTCACTGTAAACAAATCTTTCAACAGGAATAGGGACTAACGAAGCCTATAGCTTCCTGTAGAGGCATCGCCTTTGTCCCTACTCCTCATGACAGTAATCCTATCTCCCTCATGGCTTCCCTTCTTTTTGCCTTCGCTTCTTCAGGTTTTCCTAGACACCCACTTCTCTGTTATCCCAGTTCTCACACATGTCTTCTCAGTGCCTTGAAAGGCCACACCAGGACAAGCTTCTAAGTAGAGGCCTCCTGCATGTTGCACACAGAGATAGGCCTGAGCACTTGTACACCTACAAATATGATAGATTTAAGTTAATTCAGAACTAATTTAAACAATCCCAAATATAATATCTTCTTTTATTATTGTTGTAAATTCTAGGAATTATTCTTGGAACTGTAAGGGAAATTCTTCCTAACCTTTATCAGTGTGAAATTTGATAACTTTATTGTGACCAACTTCCATTAAACACGTCAATTTTCTCTATAGTAGTCTGTAGCATCTTGTGAGATGATTCAGTACTTACGACCTACTAATGGTATTGGATCCATTGCAAAACCAAACTTATCCAGCATTTGTGAGCTCTACTGACTTCATACAAGGTCTTCATATAAACAGTGATTTGACTACATTTTTAATCATGCATTCCTTGAGCTGGAGCAATGAGGAAAGCCTTGTTTAATATTAAGTGGACTCAAGCCTGCTTCCTGCTCTAGCGTAAGCATCTAAATCAGATGAAAGTTATTATATACATGAGACAGTTTAGAACCAGCTGGAATTGAGCCTGGAGTGCAAGAAGGAGAAACAGTTTTTAAATATATCTAAATGTTTTAATTCATAAGCTGGTTAGTTGTGATGAGGATCTGGAAAGCTATTGGGAATATTATTGCAATGTGATGCTGTTCTGAAAACAAGGCAACACATTGAGCAGAAGAGAGGGAGTGCCAAATCTATGGAAAGGTGGTTTTTTGTTAAAATCTACAGCGTGGTAGGAGGCAAGTGTTATGAAGCCACTTGGAGGAATAACGCTTGTTCCTCTGGTATCTCTGATGACCAACTGGTCATAGGGCCTGTCTGCAGAGCCTCCTTCAAGAACTGCATGGATTTGTGATGGTCTGACAATGATCAAGGTGTGGCTGGGTGTTAACGCCCTTCAGAATGGCTTTAATAAGTGTTATGCAGGTTTTTGCATGAATACTTTGTGTTGTTAGGTATAGCTTGTTAAAAGAAAGTGCACGTATGAGGAGAGAAGGTTTTTAGCTCACTCTTGTGTCAGGAATAGGATTTGGAAGATCAGACAGAACTTTCTTATTAGGATTCTTAGCTTTGAAGTAGATGCACTTAAATTTACTTTAGGTGTCTTGATTCGCACTATGCCTTGTTGAGAGTTTTTAATAACTATTTATTCTACATCAGCCAGTATTGAAACTTCAGCCCTATAGATGTCAGGGAATTCAGCAGTGTTTCTCATGGTTAAATTCATAGCATCTGTCTTCTAGTTTGCTTTACAGAAGGGCCTTTTCATTACTGGATAATAAAGAGATACGAACCCAGCCACTTGCAGGGATATGAGAAAATAAGTCTGTCTATTGGATTATTTCTACATTTATTTTTTTATTATTCAAGATTACCTGAGCATGAATCATGAGATAAGTTGACCATGAGGAATGGATGAATGGGGGAGGCAGAACCAAAAGTATCAAGATAGCCATTCTAGCAAAACTTGGGGAACATAATGGCAGGTTCATGGTATTTTGAGTAGAAAGGAATCAGGAAAAAAAAAAAAGTGAAATTAAACAGAAGAAACCTCTAATCTAGCTAACTCTAACCTTCTCTTGCTTCAAAAGAATTTTTTTTAATACTTCTGGTATTTCCCAATCTGTTCTAAATGTAAGAAATTTTTGTAGCCAAGAGGGTGAGCAGTCATCGCTGATCATAGGGTTTAGGGCACACTGTTGGTGGCAAATTTTATTGTCTTCTTGCAGGTGCTGGTTTTACCTGCCTTTGAAATGGTCTATTTTTCTACTAAAATTTTCTGTTTAAATTGGAGATTGTGCTTTTAAAGCCTGAGAATTTTATAAGAATCCAGTTCGATCATGGAGAAGAAGCTGTAACCATTGTCACTTCAAAAGCCCTTGTGAGTCAGGACACTGCACTCAGTATCCACAAGCCCCTGTCTTTCTACTCGGGTGTCAGACTAATTTTATTTGTCCTTGCCAGCACTGAACAGATTGCATTGCTCTGTTCTGCTGGGGCAAAGTCAATCCATGTTAATGGCTTCTTTAATCTTTTAAAAGTGATTATTTTATTTGGGGCAGTGCCACCAGCCAATTCCAGTCTCTTGCTAGTGATAGTGGTCAAATAGAGATAAGCAGTGCCTGCATAAGACAAGTTAGACTCTAATCTTTCCACATTTTGTGCCTAATTTAGCTGAAAAAAATTCTGGACTTGGTTCTCAGGAGTCATAACTTTGCATGACTAGTCTAGGTTCGTTCTCCAACCTTGATTTCAGGTAATACCAGTTAGCACTTAATATGCTATTAGCTGTTATGTGTCTAATCTAAATCAAATCTATCTGATGCGTCTCATCTATATATCTGAAGTATTTAATTCTACAGTATACTTTTGTTAGATTTCACTTTTCAAGGTCTAGCAGAGTTGGATATTAGAATAGACCAGGGAAATCTGCAGATCTCAAGAAAAATGAGGAAAAGAAATTATCTATTATTCCACCTTACATTGCCAATCTAAAAATCTTTCGATGGCAAAACTCACTTCTAAGCATTTAGTCATTTCTTAGAAAAATAGATCCATCTTGGATATTAATTTTACCAACTTTACAGAACTTATTTCTGTGTGTGTCTCCTGATGCATGACTTGGAAAACTCTGGCTTAGATGGCTAAAGGTTAAAGGTGCAGATGCTGTTGTGTTGCTGTCTTGAAGCTGTACCTTGTGCTGTGTAAGCTTTTCAGTTTCTGGAAGAGCTACGGATGTCCTCTGTCTGGGCTTCTGTAAGGCTTTGACACAGTCCCACACTCTGTCCTCCTCACTACATTGGAGAGAGATGGATTTGATGGGTGGACTTGTTCAGTGGATGAGGAATTGGTTAGATGGTTCCATCCAGAGGATAGTGGTCAATGGCTCAATGTCCAGATGGAGATCAGTGACAAGTGGTGTCCCTCAGGGGTTCGTATTGGGACCAGTACTGTTCAATATCTTCATCAATGACATAGACAGTGGGATCAAGTACACCCTCAGCAAATTTGTGGATGACACCAAGCTGAGTGGTGTGGCTGATGCACCTGAGGGACGGGATGCCAACCAGAGGGACCTGGACAGGCTTGAGAAGTGGGCCCATTTGAACCTCCTGAGCTTCAGTAAGGTCAAGTGTGCAAGGTCCTGCACCTGGGTCAGAGCAACCCCCAGTATCAATACAGGCACGGAGCAGCCATACCGGAAGGACTTGGGAGACACCTCAGAAAGCCAACCATATCCTGGGCTGCATCTCCAGCAGTGTGGTCAGCAAGTTGAGGGGGGTGATCCTGCCCCTCTACTCTGCTCTGGTTACACCGCCCTGCACTGCTGCATCCAGTTCTG